TACCTGCGTATCATTTAATAAAGAGTCAATCTTAAGACATTCTAATGTATCTGTCACCTTTAAATCATTATTAAGTTCAACCTCTGTTTTTTCCTTGGGTTTCAATTCTTCCTGGACTATGTTACTCTGTTCTTCATTCCAAAGGTTGCCAATATTTACTTCTTCAAGTTCTGCTTTAAATTCTGTCTGTTCACTTTCTAATTTTGGTTCATTTGTGTCTGTTATAGCTTTCATTTCTAATAGTTCTTGTTTATATGCTAGTTCATGTAGGCCAACTTGTTTTTCCAAAGTTTCAGCCCTTTTATCTGCTCTCTGTTTTCTGTTTCTTTTTTTCCGCTTTCCTTTTAGTTGTACAGTCTCTTCTACTTTATCTCCATCCGAGATTTCTTCTTCTTTTTGCATGTCTGTAATAGCTCTTGATCTATTACACACTATTTCTATCACATCATCTAGTTCTCTCAATACATTTCCATGAGCTCGTCGGGGTTGGTCTGTTTCTTCGTCCCATGCTTCTTTTGCTTCTTCTATGTCTCTTTCAAGTCGATTGGTTGCCCAGGCTATCTGCTTATTCATCTTCTTAATGCCTTGCGCCCTCGCTAGTGCTAGATATTCTTCAAAACATAACATTTTGATATATTTTCTATGACATAAAATATAAATTCATTAGTTGACAATAGATAAATGTTAATTAATTTACAATACCCTTTCTTGGTTTCTGGCTTGTTTTAGTTGATTACAGACATCTGGTTATCCAAGAAAAGTTCATAGTACATATATATGTCCAAAAATAGTTCACTTTGTTGATTCCAAAAAGTTGAAAAAAATTCGAAATAGTTCTAGTAGCCTGTTACAGAGTAGAAATTTGTCCAGTTTTAGATAAGACATCTTTAGGAACAGTTTAGGAACAGTTACAAAAATAAACTTGATCTGCTAAATCCAAACAGTAGAAAAACTTGAACAGCTAATCCATATAGAAAAAACTTGAACAGCTAAATCCAAACAGTAGAAAAGAAACACTAAGACTTGATCGGCTAAATCCAAACAGAAAAAACACACAGACGATATTTACTCGACATTGGTGAGACAATATCGAAGTAAGGTGATAAAAATTATCACGTTGATGACTTGACTTGAACAAAACGTCTGACTTGACTACAGCAATCCTTCTGACTTGAGTGTAGATAGATGACTTTCAAGAACTTGACGTACTTGGTAAACAGTGGAAGACCGCAGACTGTAATATCTCCATTTCTGACATATGTAGCACCAATTCTTCAACCACTTGTGACATCATAAGTAACAGTAATACAATGTAGCAACATCACTTTATTGCCCCCACTTCTGACACCATATGTAACAACATGTCTGATAATAATGTAGAAACACTTCTTCAATTGCTTCTGACAATGTAACAGTAGTAGTAGACGCTCACAATGTAGCAACTGTTGTTGCCCCCACTTCTGACACCATATGTAACAACATGAATTCTTTGTTGTTATTGTGAGTTCTTCAATATACTCATACGAGCAACAGTAGTTGTGAAACAATAACTTTATTTACACTTTGTACAGAGAATTAATAGATCCATAGTAAATCCATGGTCACAACTGGTATAAGTACAATCACAGTCAAGAAACAAAGTGTCGTAGTAACATCCTACATTCACAGCCACAGTCCTCAGGTTCAAGTTCTAGCACACAACACCCGTTCACCTTTTTGCTCTCCCTTTTATTCACTACTTTCTCTCCCCTTACGTACATGAGCGATGTCACCCAAAAACATGGAAAAACACATGACGATCGCTCAAACAGTCCTTCCGCTAGCCAGGTACTCTTCATTCATGCAACTTCATGTAAAACACAATAATATAAACATACCTAATTATACAGTCTGTGACAGTATCTTAATCTGGACAATCTCCTGTAAGTTTAGTAGAGTTAGTTTCCAAGATTTTCTCAAATCTTAAAAATACTTTCTAATTTGTATATATTTTTGTATTAAACCATTAAATCTAACCACTAGGAACCTATTTAATGGTTAGGTAAAAGGTTCATTTAACTATAGTAAAATCAAGTCAATAAAGTTTAACTGATTACTTGACGTGAGTTATGTATATCTATAGCGGCTGGGTCTAGAGTTGACCATAACATATTTACATATACACGTCAGCGGTAGAGTCTACCAGCCTGTCCAACAAACCATTATATCTATTATAAAAAAAACACAATTATTGCAGTTTTCCGACTCTTGCAGATGTCAAACATCGAGATTTATTACCATCTACTTTTAGCACGATTACAATCTTTCCTCCATATTCGTGCACGGAAAATTAAAAACATCGAGACGGGTTTTAAAGTATTTTAAAATATATTTTGAAGTATATCAGATTTTTCAAAAATTGTAATTTTATTTTTTATAACAGTTGAAAATGTTTGTTGTGAAAATAGAGAATTCAACTACACATTGAGAGACAGGAGTGACGTCACAATGGTACTACTGGAAGGGCATCACGTGACCGATGCAGTGCTGGGCTGTGCTGTCACGTGCTCAAACAACGAGAACGATTGTTACAATTTTATGTTTGATGAGTTCAGTGGAGGGTGCTATTTAGGTGGGTTTACAACTATGTTTGATGAGTTCAGTGGAGGGTGCTATTTAGGTGGGTTTACAACTATGTTTGATGAGTTCAGTGGAGGGTGTTATTTAGGTGGGTTTACAACTATGTTTGATGAGCTCAGAGGAGGGTGTTATTTAGGTGGGTTTACAACTATGTTTGATGAGTTCAGTCGAGGGTGTTATTTAGGTGGGTTTACAACTATGTTTGATGAGTTCAGTGGAGGGTGTTATTTAGGTGGGTTTACAACTATGTTTGATGAGTTCAGTGGAGGGTGTTATTTAGGTGGGTTTACAACTCTGTTTGATGAGTTCAGTCGAGGGTGTTATTTAGGTGGGTTTACAACTATGTTTGATGAGTTCAGTGGAGGGTGTTATTTAGGTGGGTTTACAACTATGTTTGATGAGTTCAGTGGAGGGTGCTATTTAGGTGGGTTTACAACTATGTTTGATGAGTTCAGTCGAGGGTGTTATTTAGGTGGGTTTACAACTATGTTTGATGAGTTCAGTCGAGGGTGTTATTTAGGTGGGTTTACAACTATGTTTGATGAGTTCAGTGGAGGCTGTTATTTAGGTGTGTTTACTTGATTAAATTGTTATACCAATGAAACTAAAAGAATATTTAAGTATATTACTGAATAATATTATCATTGATTCAGTGCTAACCATCTTGTATTAGATTTTTTGTTGTTAATGTGGTTTATCGAAAGCGTGTAACGCAGATATTTTCCATTGCTTAAACCATTCCGTGATTTTATCTATTTGTTTCGCATAGTGCACGTTACTATCATATATGGGTACATTTCACAGTTTGGGTGTGAGCTTGGGGTAGATTTAACTTTCCGAAAACTAAAATCGGATCAATTCTAAACATCTTAACGGTTGTATTAAAAAGAATAAAATGCAAAATGATATTCTCAAAATATTTTAATAAGCTGATGTTTGTAATATATATTAATTAATTTCGCTAATTTTTAAAAGGCTCTTGGATTCTACCAAACGACGCCGTCATGACCTCGGTACCACAACCACCAGCCGAGTCTAAGTTATACACAAGGGGCGGGTACTGTGATACCGTGGGCAATGGAAGGATGGGATCTTGTAGAACATCTGTCTGTACAGGTATTTAGTCACCGTGTTCTATAGAAGATACAGAGGCGTAGCGAGGGGGGTTGGGGGTGCTGACCGCACCAGGTGACACCATTTAGGGGGGTGACACCAAGCAAAAAATAGCAAAATATATAGAGAAAAACTTGAGGAAGGGGTGCAAATCGAAAGTTTGAAGGGGGGGGGGGGGTTGCAAATCGAAGACTTGAGGGGGGTGCAAATTGAAAGTTTGAGGGGGGGGGTGCAAATAGAAAATTTGAAAGTTTGTCCACGGGAAGGGTCGCTACGCCTCTGGGGTGGTGACACCATTAAGTGCCGCACCGGGTGACACCCGACCTCGCTACGCCACTGAGAAGATAAATATATATATATATTCATACATATATATATATATATATATATATATATATATATATATATATATATATATATATATATAATAAAAAAACGTTGATTGTCAAATTATGTTAATTTTTGTCACTTGCAATGTTTAATGTGTTAAATCTGTTATTAACTTTCGGTTATAGCTTTAATTACGTAACTGTTTGTTCTTTTTAATTGGGTTCTAACACTAGTATCAATTATCTAATTCGAGAATAAAAGCGATATATAGAATTACGCTATTGGTTAGGTACGTTATGTTTGTAGTAGAAACACGATTCTGATTCCTATACAACATCCAGCTTTAACGTGTTAATTAGCTTTGGCGGTAGCTGTAATGATTTAACTGTATGTTGTCTCTATTAGGTAACTTTTGAATAGGATGAATTAGGATATAATTTAATTTAAACAAGTTGTTTTGTTTTATTGATTGGATCATATGCAAGAGTTAACGGTTAAGTATAAAACAATAAACGTATGAATAATTCACTTAAGTTTTATTTAAGTCCGTAGGTTTTCCCTCTGTTGTAGAGACTCGACAGCTTGTTTGAGGTTAAGATCCGCCCAGAAATATACTATGTTACTTTAGCCTGTACAATGATTGCACTTTGGAAAATAAATAAAAATAATAAAAGATACATATTAGTTAAGATGCAATTTGTGATTTCGACTACATTTGTAAAATGGTGATAGATTTTAAACTGAGATTACTTGTATAATTAGTGACCACAAGACGCTTTTAGAAATCACACGCTAATCGTTAAAAAAAACAATAATTACTTGCTCAGACGATTTAGTTAAGCTACTCAATATTCATATGACCTATGTTACATGTGCTTTTAAAATATGCATTTTTTCTTATAACAGAACAGAAAATATTAAGAAAAACAACACAAATGATGTTAGACCATGATTTGTATACATCGTGTGCCGACGTGAAGAACTCCACCAACCCCAGACAACTTTTACAACTGTCGTCTGGTCTTGTCGTCATGTGTGACACAGTGACAGATGGAGGGGGCTGGACAATTTTCCAACGTCGCGTCTCCGGTGTCGTGGACTTTTACCGCAACTGGGAGGAATACAAACACGGGTTCGGAGACTTCGACGCTGGAGAATTTTACCTGGGCAACGAAAACATTTACTGTCTGACAGCAAACAGATCACATGAATTAAGAATTGACATGACTTTCAAGGGGAAAAACTATTACGCCTCGTATTCGAGTTTTAAAATACAATCAGAAAAAGAGTTCTATAAACTATTTATAAGTGGCTACTACGGTAATGCAAGTGACAGCCTAAACACAGTTCACAACGGAAAATATTTTAGCACCTACGATGTTGATAATGATGAGGTCAATTATAATTGTCCAGTAACGTATCAGGGCGCTTGGTGGTACTCCAACTGCCACATATCAAACCTCAACGGTCGTTATGGGAGTGTGCTCTTCGGGAAGGGTCTCTCGTGGAAAACTGTTACCACTTTGTATGATGGAGTGACCTATTCTGAGATGAAGTTAAGGCCTGTTGAGATTTGACTCTTTAAACTAGCAGCTTTATGTATAATAAGCAAGACTTGTGTTGATTTAATGAGCTGTGGTGATTGATAGAACATAGTATTTTATAATAAACACCAACAAATTGTTTAAAACATTAGAGGTATTATTTCACATAACAAAGAAGCGTGTTGATTTGTGATCCATCAAGATTACGTTTTTGACAAAACCATTTTTTTCTCGTGTACAGAGTAGGCCTATAAAGGAAATATTGCACCCGAATAAAAAACATTTTAACTTAAATGAGTAGTTACAAATTGTGTCTGTGTGTGTCTGTGTGTCTGGGTTTTATGTTAACACAAGCACTTGAGTATTTTTTTAGTTAGGTATAGGAAATTTCATACATAATTATCATAATTTAAAAAAAACTTTTCTAAGAATTTCCAGGTACCCGGACGTGATACTAAGTTCAATTCCAAGTAATTAAAATCTGATTTGACGCACAGATTGTTAACTTTTTAATGCTCTCCAAAATAGCCCGATGTGATACTTACGGATCACAATAACTGTAATACTGTTTTATTTAGAGAAAATATATTTCATATGAATGTAAAATATTAATACTTACATTATTTTCAATTTTTTGAATGACGTGCAATATCTGGATATATTACTCAATTTCTGGATTCTAAAATATTGACTATCGTTTCAGTTATTTGGAAGAAATTTCAAAATAATATATAAGTATTGGCTCCTGTAAGTTTTATTAAATTTGGGCGATTTCCGGTAAATTTGATTTTTTTTTCTATTGCCGATTTCTCGAAAAACAATTTGACAATTGTTTTGTCTTATTCTTACAGAGCATATTACCAGAATGTCTGGGCTCAAAACTTTCAGAATCTGACAAATTTTCGCATTATTCTTACAAAGCATATTTGAAAAAAAACTTCAAAATTTGGCAATTTTTATACTCACTTTGTTTAAACTCTCACTTAGATCAAGTTCTCGACTTTTTGAAGTTCTATCTTTGTTCAAGTTCTCATTTTGTTCAAGTCCTCACTTTGTTCAGGTACTCACTTTGTTCAACTTCTCCCTTTGTTCAAGTTCCTACTTTGTTCCATTTCTCACCTTTTTCAAGTTTTCACTATTTTCAAGTACTCACTTTGTTCAAGTTCTCACTTCGTTCAAGTTTCTGACGTTGATCAGGTACTCACTTTGTTCAATTTTTTTTTCAAGTTCTCACTTTGTTCATGTACTCACTTTGTTCAACTTCTCCCTTTGTTCAAGTTCCTACTTTGTTCAAATTTCTCACGTTGATCAAGTTCTCACTTTTTTTCAAGTTTTCACTATGTTCAAGTGCTCACTTTGTTCAAGTTTCTCACGTTGATCAAGTTCTCACTTTTTTTTCAATTTTTTACTATATTCAAGTTCTCACTTTGATGAGGTTCTAGACTTTTTCAAGTTCTCACTTTGTTCAAGTTCTTATTTTGCTCAAGTTCTCACTTGGGCGGACCTCATCGGGTGACACCATTTAGTGGGGTTGCAGCAAGAAAAAATTAAAACATATGGAAGAAATATGATTTTTGCCAGTTAAATGAATGATTAATTAGAGTTAAAAGTATTTTAGTACAAATTGACGATCTCGACAAGGGGCGGGGGAAGGGGGCGGTGACGCCAGACATAAACCTACTAGCTCTAGAGAAAAAAAAATAGTGCTACATCCTGCTATATTATTCTTCTATTTTTTTGCTTTATATTTTTCTATCTCATATACGATTAGCACCTTTAAAAAAAGTAGGTTTACCAGTGACTTCCAACTCAGAGCCAAATGGAATTCATTTAATTTATTAAAAAGTAAATCTTGAGGGAACTCGTTAACTAGCGATGAACAACATGGACGCGGTTACTGCACTTCATTAATCCTGATATGTCACCTGGCTTAAAATATGTTTTAGTATAAAGCATTCAAGGTTAACTTTTGTCATTAATACAACTCAAATGTCGTTCTACAAGATAAGTAACGAAATCACATTAGACCTAGATATCCTTTGTGCAGAGGAAGTAGAGCTCATATGTTTCTTAACCTGGACAAATGAGAGGAAGGTGTGCTCAGCACTTTCCCAGCCTCCTTTACTCCCCATAACATGAATTAGGTACCAATCAGGATGGGTTGACGTATTTCTGACGTGGACCCGGATTCCGATTCGAGAGATTCGACTTAGTTGCCAAACGCTCTAACGCTAAGGCCACGCCGTCCTATCATATAATGAGATATTGACAGTAATATCATGTTTAACTCAGAAATTAATAGAGCTATCACTCACTGTAACAGCTTACTTACTAGACCTATCACTCACTGTAACAGCTCACTTACTAGACCTATCACTCACTGTAACAGCTCACTTACTAGACCTATCACTCACTGTAACAGCTCACTTACTAGACCTATCACTCACTGTAACAGCTCACTTACTAGACCTATCACTCACTGTAACAGCTCACTTACTAGACCTATCACTCACTGTAACAGCTCACTTACTAGACCTATCACTCACTGTAACAGCTCACTTACTAGACCTATCACTCACTGTAACAGCTCACTTACTAGACCTATCACTCACTGTAACAGCTCACTTACTCAGTCATCAGTCCTAAGGGCAGCAGTGGCAAGATACAAATATAGACCTGTAATCAATTAAATACCATTTTTTAAGTTCTCATTGTGTTACACTACTCAGTGTGTTAAACTCACTCTCGATGTGTTTAAGTACTATTTTTGTTCAAGTTTTCAATTTGTTCATGTTTCTCACTTTGTTCAAATTCTCATTTTTCTCAAGTTCTCAATTTGTTCAAGTTCTCACTTTGTTCAAGTTCTCACTTTGATCAAGTTATCACGTTGTTTAAGTTATCAGGTTGTTCAAGTTTTCTCTTTGATCAAGTTCCTCTTTGTTCAAATTCTCACTTTATTCATCTTCTCACTTTGATCAAGTTTACATGTTGTTCAAGTTCTCACTTTGATCAAGTGCTCCCTTTTTCCCACTGTGATCAAGTTCCTAACCTGATCTCAGATTGTTCAAGTTCTCAGGTTGTTCAAGTTCTCACTTTGATCAAGTACTCCCTTTTTTCAAGTTCCAAGTTCTCACTCTGTTCAAGTCCTCACTTTGTTTAATTTCCCACTTTGATCAAGTTCCTACGCTGTTCAAGTTCTCAGGTTGTTCAAGTTCTCAGGTTGTATTCAAGTTCTGAACTTGTTCAAGTTCTCATTTTGTTCAAGTTCACACTGTCAAACTTCTCACTTTGTTCAAGACTCAAAATTTCCTAGCCCACACGAATGTAGACTGCCCATTGTTCAACAAGCTTTCGTATTGCCCATTATGTACATTTTAAATTGCACATTTTGTCTTATCGCTACCTCGCTGCCCGTTTCTCTGCTGGTACTTAGCATTTTGTCTAGATGTGGCTCTTTGTTGAAGGAGTCTGAGGAAGCTAGATGTTAAGTAGCTGGTAACAGACGGGGGAGTGACTCACACCAACCCATGTTACACGAAGCGTGGGCTCAAACTAAATAAACACGAAATAAAAATGCAATGCTAATTTTAACTTCTACGTTGTCCGTAATCATTTAGGGTCGGCGTGGTCGACTGGGTAAGGCTCAGGACTGCTACACTGAAAATTCTCTGCCTTCTCTCAAATTTAGAGTAAAACAATAGGTTATTGCAGGGATGGGGCGGTCAGTTATTGCAAGGGTTGGTCAGTTATTTTCCTCATGTTGAAACAGCCTTTCTAGCCCTGATATCCCCAAAAGCTCTTCACACTGCATCATGACACACCACACACAAGCAAGACCCAGATGTTTTGTGTTTTGCAATAATTTTAGCCTGTTATGATAGGAAGAAACAACTGTTAAACTTTTTAATTTAGATATAAGAAAGTATTGATGGTTAGATCAGTGGCGTCGCTAGGTCGGGTGTCACCCGGTTCGGTACCTTAAGGTGTCCCCTCCCTCCCAAAAAAAATCTCTATACAGGCATATATACATAAGCCCCATATATATGTAAATCTGTGTATACGCATGTGTATAATTTGTATTTAAATATCGTTTTTGCTGATTTCATAATTTTTAAAGCTACAAACATTTTTTTTCTCATTAAAGATATCATTTTCCTAATATAAAAATCGACAGAGTATCCGAAAGTGCAAGAAACCCATCATGACGAAAAACCAGAAATGTGATTTTTACGGAGCATATATACTAAACATATTCCACAAAAAATACAACATTTAATGATCAAAATGATTAAAGGTGTAAATTTTCTTTTAAACTTTAAACTGAAGAAAAGAGTCAACATGTGTCGCTTATTATTGCTTATGGTTTCCATTATTTATTTACGTCTCTCACACTTTTTTTAACTCAATTTATTTATAATGGATTAATACATTGGTTTTAGGCATCTATCACACAATTTTTAATAGGAATTTAAAAAAAAACCATTTAACATATCAGACATCAAAGATAACAAATCAACTACTTGTTCTACGGTAGCAGTCGCCTTTCTCCGCACACTTACGTGCAACACAGTTAAGCTGGTGTATAATAATTTGCTTTTCGAACGATAAGTAGATATAGTTGTTATAAATACTGCTGGATGTAGTATTCTTTTCTATATCGTCATAAAGTTACGTCATGGTGTCACTCCCCCCCCCCTCCCCACCTCGTTGGGATTTGTCTATATTTCTCTTTATTAATTCTAATTAATTTATCTGGAATAATGTTTCTACTATATATATATATATATATATATATATATATATATATATATATATATATATATATATATATATATATATATATATATATATATATATATATATATATATATATATTGCTCATTTTGCCTTGGTGTCGACCCCTAAATACTGTCACCCGGTGCGGTTCCCACCACCCACACCACCCACACCCCGTTGGCGACTCCTCTGGGTTAGATAATTACATTCCTTTTCGTCTATGCAGAAATTTTTCCAATATGAATATATGTGCGACT